AGAGAGAGAGAGAGAGAGAGAGAGAGTTTTGAGGGAGGGTTAGAGGAGATGCAAAAGAGAATGAAAGAACAATTTAGTGATTTGTCTGTAAATTGATATCAATTTATATTAAATAAAAGTAATACAATATACGGAATACATCTCATCAGAGATCAGGACATAAGAAAGTAAAACAAAACAAATGGAGTTATTTGGAAGTAATTCTAATGTAAATTTAATTAAACCATAAAATCAAATTAAATAAGCAAAATTAAATACAGTATATACATTTTTTAATAAGTGTCATTCTAACCATGTTACTTTCGAAATTTTTACATTCGCAAAATTTAGATTTATTCTGGATATAATTTTTGTAAAAAAGTAATACAATATACGGAATACATCTCATCAGAGATCAGGACATAAGAAAGTAAAACAAAACAAATGGAGTTATTTGGAAGTAATTCTAATGTAAATTTAATTAAACCATAAAATCAAATTAAAAGCCAGGAGTAAAAAACATTTCATTAATTCATTAAAATATTAATAATGGTTAAAATATTTGGAAAATACAAAAATGAGCAAAAAATATTGTAACAAATTATACAAAAATTATATCCAGAATAAATCTAAATTTTGCGAATGTAAAAATTTCGAAAGTAACATGGTTAGAATGACACTTATTAAAAAATGTATATACTGTATTTAATTTTGCTTATTTAATTTGATTTCACTTTAAATTATTGGTTGTGTTAGAAATTTAATAATTATGACATTAAAATTTAATTTTATAAAAAATAATAAATTAAAAAGTGTTATAATATAACTTTATATTTAAATTTTGGATCATGTGCATGTTTCAAGCATTTTACTTTCAAAACGTGTAGACATAGGCAAATAGGATGGGTGCTGTGGGTGCCTACCTTTAATGAAATTGAGTTTGCTAGGTGATGAGCACTTAGATCACTATTAGAGCTGGCATTTGGTACGCAACGTCTGTGTGAGCTACATCTTCTTCCGGAGCACACCTAAGCAATCACAGAATAGGTTTTGGGTTCTGACACAAACCAAACTGCAGGTTTCAGTGATATTCCTAATCATCGGTACTCTCATATTGGGGTGAGTTTTCAGACAGAATGATAGGATTGACACACATATGAAAAATACTGACATTACGCCAATCACCTAAATATATGACATTTTCCATACAAAAGCATTATTATTATTGCATTTTCTGCTCATTTATCATTCATATAATATTCAATAATATTGTTTTTGTTTGTGTTTTTGTATTAACAGCAATATTTAATTGCTTCATCACTTATTTTGTCAAACATTACTTTTTATTACACAATTGATTTTTATTGATTATATAATTTTGCCACTAAAAAGAATGTATATATTTGGCCAAATATAGTGCATATTATATCGTGTTTTCACATCTTTCGATCCCTTTTGCCTAATTTATGTTATGAATATACAAAAATAGTTTATTTAACTAAAGAAATAACTCAATAAATAAAAGAATCACAAAAGCGTTTAATAATACTTTAAACGAAGTGAAAAGATCATAACTTACGAAAATAGACGGAATAACATAAACCGAAAAAACAACTAAAACACAACACTTTTGCAAAGGTCTGCAAAGAACTGCAGTCCAGTAAACAATATATCGTAATTACTATTAAAAAAGTTATTTATAGCAAAAATCTTTGAATTAATTAGATTTTTAATTAAATAATAAATTAAAATTAGTTCTCCAGAGATTATAGATTGTTAGATAAATGTTAATCTCTTAAATAGCATTCACTGACACAAGTACTGTATATATTTATAGCAAAGACAAATGCCTGTATGTTTTTCGTCACTAATTCATATATAAATTAATAAATTATATAAAATACATATTTATTGTGCCTTCAGTTTAGTTGATAGTGTATATTATATTCGGTTATTTGGTAAAATTTATATAAGTACCAAACACTTCGGGCAATGAATCTCTCTCTCTCTCCCTCCCTTCATCTCTCTCTCTCTCCTCTCCTCTTCTAGTGTATAATTTTTGAGTCTTTTAATGGTAATTGATTTCATGCAATATTAACCACTCATTCATTGTTTGTCTACATTTTACTATAAGAAATAAGTCCACAAAATTAATGCTATGGTATATAATATAATGGTATTGAAATCCTATAGCTATTGCAACGAAGCGTCTATTCTATGGTATAATCGATATTTTTGATTCAAATAAGCGTTAAATCTGTGATGACATTAATTTATTATAATTTTACTCATATTGATATCAATAGCAACAAAACTACTCAACAAAATAAAAAGCAAGAAAATGGGTTACATTTCCCTCGTATACATGGGTTTTGTTGGTATTGTTAATACAATTCGTGATAACTTTTCTAATCGATCCGTTTAAAGGGCTAATAAAATGTCAGTTTTGTCTTATAGTTTGTCTGTTCACACAATTCTTGTGCCAATAGAGAGGGAGAAGTGCACACAAAATAAGCTCAATTTTGCTTACATTTGTCTTTTAATGCAATGTTTCTCATTAAGAATATAATGGGATTTTAATGATATAATTATGAATTCTCTATTGTATAACGAATGAGAAGTATTTTGTCTGTTTTTTGTGCACCACTTCTCAACATTTCCATGAAATGATTGCACATTTCATTTGAACTTAAATGTCATTTGAATATTAAAATATTCAAAATTTTCTCGAAATCAAATTCACAAAAAACTGAATTTTAATATCTATTTTCGTTTTTGAGAGAGAGAGAGAGAGAGAGAGAGAGAGAGAGACGAATTTAATTCAATTTCTAGATTATTGGCAGTCTTTTAAATCTTTTGAATATTGGATGAAAATTTTTCGACTCATTTATTCTTTTGTAAATCACATGAAATCCTATTTTTCACTTCAAAAGAAATGTTTGAATTTATATCGATATTTAATAAGAAACGTCTGAAACAGTGAAACAGATATTAAATTCTCGTCAATCAGAAAGAGGGCATAAATATATCGGTAAACACTTGAGTGCTATTTATATATTTGAATGCTATTCACAATGACATACAAAATACACACTTTCGCTCAAAATGATGGGCAAATTCTCGGACAAAAAGCATATATACTTATAGGCACTCAATAGAAACGATATAAAAATAGTTATTATTATTATTAGGCAAATGTATGTGTGAAGTGGTTGTGCTCGAGAGGCCGGTCGGCACGCAATTAGCCTAACAGTTAGCACACATTTTTGTACACAAACTGAATTGTTTGCCGAAAGGAAATCGATATATGATTATATGTGTTGTATATGTAATACATATTATGTATAATAGACTCACTTTAGCAGCATTTGATGAGTAGGGCTCGTCTGAAAGGGACCAGAGTTTTGGCTTAAGCCGTTGCCAACAGCTGAGTGTGCCGTTCAAGTAGTCGTCTTCCATCCCGAACTTGCGGGCGATCTCTTCGTCGCTGGGCTTCTCTGTATCCAAGTCTAGTCTGTCCAATACGGCCAGCGTTTCCTGAGTGTCCCTGTGCTGAGTGTATGTCATCCAACAACACGGCTCCACCTGATTAGACACACAATCAAAACGTAAAGCAATTGTGTATTGATAAATACATAACTCGATAAACTTGTTGTTTAATCAACAGATAGTTATTTTCTGATTATAGTATTACTTGATTCGAGTCGAGACCCCAGAACTCGAGCTCCTCTTCGAAAAGGGGTCCGCACACGTCGGTCGGGTAGTGAAGCTTTCCTGTCCGGTAGTAGTTTAGTATTTGACCGAAAACGCCTAAATATACCATTCATGCCATACAAACATACAGATTACTTCATTATAAGATAAATACAATAGATATTCAGTAGATATACACGAATATTGTGTGTATATATTTTGGTATACAGTACATGGGATGAGTGATTGGATGGGCGAGTGTTAGTGATGGACAGCACTTACCCGGATGTCGATCGAAGAAATATTCATTGAGTACCGGATCGTAGTTCGCGAGCGCTTCTGTGAGTCGGGACAGTCGAGTCGCCGGAATCTTCTTAAGCGTAGCCTTAAGTTTGCCAAACAATGCGAGAATGGATTGAAATGAATGGAAAGTTAGAACAGAAAAGCCATTATTCGTAAACTTGTTTTACAATTTAATTCAAACTAATGGCTCAGAAAATGGAAATTTGATGGAAAGTAAGGACCAGAAGAATAGAATAAGAGATGGAAAAGAGAAGAGATTGAATCAAATTGAAAAACCATTGCATTTATTTCAGCCGTTTGTTTGCCTTTCAAAAACAGTTTTGTTTCAAATCATCGCAAATATATTACTTAAAAACACGAATTGAAAAGTTATTGTCTCAATGCCTTATAAATATATTTAACTTTAAAACTCGTATATCTAATAAAATTTAATTATATTTCTCACGTGTTTAAAAAATTGTACATAAAATTGGGAATATATTTGAAAAATAGTTTAAACATTTGAGTTGAGGGGAGGGGAGGGCGAGAGAGAGCAAGAAATGTTTGCGTGTAAAACATTTGACATTTTCAAATAATATATTCCGAAAGCCTGTAGTTATTGTATTATTAATAAAATGCAAAAAACAAATACAAATATCTAACAATTCGTAGTGAAGTTATTTGAAAATATTTTTCGCTACAAAATTGAATCTAATATTAAGGGAGAAAAATATGTGTATTTTTATTCTTGTTGTTGAATACATAAAAATTGATTTTCTTTTATAAGTATAACAGCGAAACTCATTCAACAAATAAAACACATAAAAATCCTATTGTATTGAATCAGTAAAACACATAATAATAAGAAATATTGCGCTAAAAATGAAATAATTTTGTTTAATAATAGTAATAACACTAATAATAATACTAAAACTTACTTGTCTTCCCATAACTATAATTTGTATATAATTTAATTATCGCTAAATTCTGTGCAAAATTATATTATAAACTCATTTGAGATCACAATCTGTTTAGTGACCCAATGTTTTGTTAAACAACAGATAAAAAGCTCGTGTAATAAATAACTACTAAACGGATTGAAATAATATGTAGTCTCTGTTTGAGATAAAACGCTAATTGAATTATATCTGAATGAATGCATAATTTCTATTCTAAACATAAGAGAGAGAGAGAGAGAGAGAGAGAGAGAGAGAGAGAGAGAGGTGAGGGGATGTATACCTTATAGGTTTCGTGACGAATACCCCCGACATTAAGAACCACTATTCATTGACATTGTATTCAATATTTCTGCAAACAGCTCACAAATAGCTGCCAATTCTCAACACAAACACGAATAATACATTATTTGCCGGACTTTTGAATGTTTTGTTTGTTTTTGATCCGATTTTCCGCAATAACTAAAACTACACGAAAAATATATATAAGAGAGAAATATTTTGAGAGAGAGAGAGAGAGAAGCAATGGAAAGCATATATCTCTGGAATTCACTTTTATGTTTGAGATTTTAGTTTTTCAATCTGTGATTTCGTTAAAGTATTTTCTCAAAAACTTATAACTATTTTCATATTTTATTCATGAGATTTGATGATGAAATAAAAGCAACAAAAACATCAAGTATTTTTCAAATGCTATAATCTATAAAATACATACAATTTATACAAATATAAACTCTCATATGTATTATATAAAGTACAGGTTATTGTATTAAATCTTTAAAATTGAAAATAAGATTCTCGTCGAGTGATTATAATCAATAAAAACAGGAAAAAACAAAAAGTGCTATGAATTTTATTCATGTCATAAGCATTACAATAGACTATTATATAAAAAAATATATAAGGGTTTTAATTATTTGATGTCAATCTAGTTAAGTGTTTTGTCAAATGCTGTACTCATCGCTCATTACATGTTCTATATTTGCAGATATATTGGTTGAGCGGCACTAATAATGATGAGATGAGTCCTCATCTCATATGCTGGTGGAGTGGAGGACAGGCTTAGCGTCGAAACAACAAACAAAAAAACTACACTCTCTTTAAGATGCAGTCGATTCTTATGCTATTATACAGTATTAGTATTGATTTGCTCATCACTGGCCACACAGTTAAGCACAACAACAACACTATTCACGCGCTTTCTTTGAGGACTCGTCGAAGTGATGCAAATACAGCTCCATATCATCGCATCCGACGCTCATCTTCTCATCCATTGATTGCATTCATTGCCAATCGTTTCATTAATTATGTAGAAAACGCTTCTGTCGTCGATTTAATGAATTAATTCATCCATTCATTACAACAATCATTAAAAAAACCAAAAACCAAATCATGATCGCTAATACACAGGACACTGAAAATAGAGTGGTTCTTAATGTCGGGGGTATTCGTCACGAAACCTATAAGGTATACATCCCCTCACCTCTCTCTCTCCTTCTCTCTCTCTCTCTCTCTCTCTCTCTTTCTCTCTCTTAAAATTTTTGTTCACTCTATAGAATTGAAATCTGAATCTCATTTTCAAATCGCATACTGTTTTCTAACCATATTATTAATGATATGATTTATAAATACAAAGTATATATAATATTATTTTAATTGATTATGTTTTCAAAATTAATGTTATCTCCATTTAAGGAATATTCCGACTTTTCATTAATACATGCATTTTGAGAGAGAAAATGGGCTGACATTTAAGGTCTCTGTAAATGTGTTGTCGTAACACAAGAATCTCCGCTATTTTATTGTAATTTGTATCGACAAAAATGCATTTTGCTTATGAAGTGTATTAATCTTTATAAAAATGTTGAAATATATAATTAATTGCTTTTACTAAACAATCTTATGGAGTGTTTAAGTCACTCCTTTCTTCTGTATTCTTTCGTTAAAAAACTTTTAATTAATTATAAAATTAATTAATTTTGTTAGCGTTAGTCGTGTTGTGATTAGAAATATTACGGAAATGGTAATTGACTTTTGTATTTGAATTTTTATCATTAATAAATCTAGTGAACAACAAATCACATAAAAATTGGACAGTAAACAGAATACATGATAAATTTGTGTATTATTTTACAATACCATAAAATGATATGTTTGTAAAAATAATGTTATCAATACGTTAAGCGGCAAATCGTAAACATCACATCATATATGATAACTAGTTTAATAGCGGATCCCAACTGTCGGCCACACAAACCACTCGATTGTCGATCCATTTTCATTGACATTGTATTCAATATTTCTGCAAACAGCTCACAAATAGCTGCCAATTCTCAACACAAACACGAATAATACATTATTTGCCGGACTTTTGAATGTTTTGTTTGTTTTTGATCCGATTTTCTCGCAATAACTAAAACTACACAAAATATATATATAAGAGAGAAATATTTTGAGAGAGAGAGAGAGAGAGAGAGAGAGATGCTGAAATGAGTTGAATATACATTTTTACAACAAAATAACGAAAAATTTTAATATTTATGAAACTGAAAATAAGTATAAAAACTATTGCCGGAGAGATATTACGGAATGGAATGAAACTAAAGTTAGCAAAAGTATGAGTAAAAAGATATACAAATAGAAAATCGATACAAAAATATGATATAATTCTTAGAGAAAGGTATTATAAATTTATTTTAAAAATTTTCTACTCAAGTATTCAATACTCGGTTTCAAGTGTCACCAAAAAAATTGATCAATTAATTAAAACAATGGCAAATAATATAAAGTATACATAACTACAGTATTTCTATCAGTAAAATACTGTGTTTGTAACCATTTGTTAGTAAAGTGTCACATATTATTTTGTTTCTTGTGCTGTTTGTCTCCGTTCATTGATTATGAATTATAATAAAACATATCATTTACGTTATGGTTAGCGTACGGAATGGTAGATATGAAATAATTTATTGTTAATAAAAACGAGAATTTCCTATTATGTGAAATCACTGTATTTTTAATGAATATTTAATCCATTATTAATTGTCTTTGGTTTTGATTTTACTCTTTATTCGGTGTGTATTTAGGCATTGAATACAATTGTTTTGAATCATTTATATGGACTGAAATGGTCTACACAATGGTCTCAATATTGTTATTAATGACTACAGATTTTTCTGTGGTTTTTGCTCATAAAACTGCATTTCTGTTGTGTTTTGTATTAATATTTTACACATATATTTGTTGGCCTTTAATTTGGTGCAATTCTTTCCTATGCCTTACTTTTCTTACTTTAAATTGTATTTCTTTGGTATCACTAAACAAGAAAAGACATACTCTTCGCCCACTTTACACACATATATCTATGATATATGTTTGTTAACTCTATCCAAACATTAATGACATGAAGAAAAATAAGAATTTTTTTTATTTTCTTAACGTAAGAATACTCTACAAATAGAGAGAGAGAGAGAGAGAGAGAGAGAGAGAGAGACCTTTAGATGGCTTATCAATTCATTGTGAGCTGAAATAAGCAGTTTTTCATTTTATTTTATATCGTATTTTACTTATTCCCGGTATATCTCGAGAGTTAGTTTTGATACTAAAAACTCAAACAAAATATAGTAAATCAAGCGATAAAATCAAAAAGTAATAGTTTTTTATCGAGATGTGAATTCCGAGTGGCGAACAGTAAGAATCGGCACAAATTTCTGTCCGTATTTATATCGTTGTAAAATATATATAACATACTATATAAAAGTGTTTTGAAATACGAGAGTTACATAACTGTCCATTTGTTTGGCCATCAATACAGACGGCGGTCTATATATCACGTCATATATTAAAATATGAAAAGAAAAGTATTTATATAACAATATTTATGAGAGAGAGAGAGAGAGAGAGAGAGAGAGAGGAAGAGAGATGAGAAAAGTATATGTGATATAAAAGTAGTTATAAAATACTTAAGATTCAGTAAAAAAACATTTTTTTCAGTTGAATTGTTTAGTGTATAAATCATTTCGAAAATATATATGAAATAAAAAACATTTTTTATGTTCTCTCAAAAGAGGAATACTTTGGTAACAAAAATAAGAGTATATTTATCTAAAAAACAAGTAAAACGAAAGCAGAAAAACATTATATGGGAATAAAAGTACTGAAATCTCTTTTTTCTGTCCTAATATCTGTACAAAAGTTTTTAAGTTAGAAATGGGTTTTAAGTATTTTTGTCTCGTTATATATTTAATACAATATTATCAGTAGTTTTACTTTTAAAAATATATGATATTTCTGTTTTTAAAATAATCTATCATTTTTGGCAAAATTACATGCAAAAGACTTATTTGCTTTAAAAATAGCTAATAATATGTCATTTTTGGATACAAAACATACATTTGTCATCTTTTTCTCGCATTTCATTGTCTAAAAGTTTGTTTAAATATATTTAATTAAGTTATAGTACGAGAAAAGTATTTGATATACAATTGTTTTAGACTTAACTTATTATTTTGAATGCGAATAAAAGTTGACATTAATTGTTATAACAATAGGAAAAATGATGTCAAACGAGAGATTAGATTATTCATAATGATTAACGATGCGATCCCTTTGGATGCAATGCACACAACCATCTCATCCACACCTAAACACTACAGTCAACCATAAGATGTAACACATGTTATAACATGTAAATCTTGTGCCAACCAAACCGTGTCATTTGTATCTATGTTTTTGCGTCTATCGACTCAAAACCGTATCAATATTTTAATATCTATGTAAATATGCATTGAATTTAATGTCGTGAAAGATTCCTCTCTCATATTCATCTCTCTCTCTCTCTCTCTCTCTCTCTCTCTCCTTATCTCTACATTATATTAATATTGAAATATAAAAGCGATTATTAAGCCATAAATGTCTCTCAAAATACAAACCATATATAATTGATGATAGCATCAACTCATACGACCGATAACTACATTATAAAATGATTAGTGCCTCACATGTGCTAACTATTGGTCAGATCCTCACATATTATCCCATATTATATACGTCCCTATCATTAATTTGAAACCATTTATTAATAATAAAAAATATTAAAATACCGAGAGCTTTGAGAGTAGTTTAAATGATTAATATATTAATGCACTAATGATTTGCATTTAATTATTTATTTAAATTATAAAAACTATTTGCAAAACGAAAAAACAAAAATTTAAGTAATTTTTGGGCTCAACTTTCCAAATGAGAGAAATATCATTAAATTAAAATCTATATTAAATAAAAAGTTCAAATATTGTTTTTTTGTGATAAAATAAACAATAGATTTTGTTGGGAAATAAGAAAATCGATACCAATTTTTGTTAAAACACTTCTTCAAAATTATAAGCAAACAAAATTATACAAAATGAATGTCTTAAATAAAATATATATAAAAATTAAGGTTTAATTTTATTGAATGTTTGCATTGATTTGTTTAACATTTGAATATATAATTAAATAAATGCCAACAAATATCTATTTATTCAAAACACGAGTCCTTTAAATAACACTTAATTGATAACGAATTTGTTTTATTTCAATACATTATTTGAAATGAATTTTTTTGGATCTCATTTAGAAAGAGAAGGAACCGAATAATAAAAAAATCTCATCTGAATTACAAATTTATTTTATTTCTATTATTTATTATATTATAAAAGAAAGTGAAAGAAAGTGGAGACGAGACTAAATGAAGTGAGAGTAGGAGAGAAAGTGAGGAGAGAGAGAGAGAGAGAGAGAGAGAGAAAGATTTTATATTATAGTATAGTTTGCAATGAAATAAACAAGAATTTAATAATAATCCCAAATTTAGTGCTCATAATTCAAACCTTTCTTTTTGAACATTTAAACTTAATTTAATCTTCAAATAATATATTCAAAAACTAAATTACTTTTTTGACAATAATATAAGTTTATTATTATTATAAAGTTATCATAAAGTTATCGCAAACCAATCAGTTGTTGAATTATAAACTGAATTTCGTTTTGTGTCATAATTTTATATAAAAGTGTAATATTTTTAAAAATAAATAAAATAAAATAGGATTTATTCATTCAAAACAAAGACGATATGTAGTAAATGATTGTCAAACAAATCCTGAGTACATGTGAATGCATTAGTTTTGGCTTATTTTGTCGCTTTATTCATAAATATAACTTATATTATATTAGAATTAAATATTAAACACTTTTTTGTATTAAAATAAGCAAACTTTTAAAATTGATTTCTCTCTCTCTCTCTCTC